TACGGGAAGCAACAAATCTCAGTCAGTGGAAGTATATCAGCTCCAAGAACAATCCCGCTGATGAAGCCTCCAGGGGTCTGAGTGTGGATAACTTTCTTGCCTGTAAGAGGTGGTTGGAGGGTCCTGACTTTCTCCAAAGACCGGAAATGGATTGGCCAAGACCTTTGGAGCCGCAGCCCATCTCCTCAGACGACCCAGAGGTAAAAAGGGACGTCCTGGTAAATATGATTACACACACAGAAGATGCGACCTCTAAGCTCATGACTTACTTTTCTGACTGGTCTAAACTTAAAATCTCTGTAGCTTGGTACTTAAGGCTCAAATCTATTCTTTTGGAGCTGAGCAGAGAGAGGAAGTTGATTCTGGCTTCTTTAGATCTTACTGGCTCATCTTTGGAGGAGAGGATGAGAGAGGTTAGAGGAGCAATTGGCAAACAACCACTTTCTGTGAGTGAGCTCTCTAAAGCCGAAGCTGCTATCATACATTTCAGTCAGCAAGTAACATTTCAGGAAGAAATCTCAATGTTGAAAAGTGGAGCATCTTTTGTGAAGAAAACAAGCAACATTTACAAATTAGATCCAGTGCTCAGTGACAATTTGTTGAGAGTAGGTGGAAGACTGGGCCGTGCAGCTTTGCCTGAAGAGCTCAAGCATCCTGCGATTCTCTGTAAGGGGCAACATATATCCAGTCTTATTCTGCGGTCCATACATCAACAGCTTGGGCATGCTGGACGGAACCATATGCTCTCGACTTTGCGGCGCAAGTATTGGGTTACTAACGCCAACTCTGCTTGCCGGAGAATAATATCTGAGTGTGTGGTCTGTAGAAGGCATCGCGGACAGCCAAGTGAGCAGAAGATGGCTGATTTACCCAGTGAAAGAATAAGTCCAGATCTGCCTCCCTTCACCAACGTCGGGGTGGATTATTTCGGACCCATTGAAGTCAAGAGGGGGCGTGCTATGGCCAAAAGATATGGGGTCATCTTCACCTGTATGGCCAGTAGAGCTGTGCATTTGGAGGTTGCTTACACTCTGACCACGGATTCTTGTGTCAATGCTATTAGGAGATTCATTTGTCGAAGAGGTCAGATCTGCAGTTTAAGATCGGACAATGGTACCAACTTTGTTGGTGCAGAGCGAGAGTTAAGAGAAGCTTTAGCAGCTATTGATTACAACAAGATTCATGGTGCTCTCATAAAAAGGGGCATCGATTGGTTTTTTAACACCCCGGCTGCATCACATCATGGCGGCGTTTGGGAGCGCCTCATTAAGATAGTCAAGCGAGTTCTGTATTCTGTTCTGCAGCAACAGTCTTTGGATGATGAAAGCTTCCATACCATTCTGTGTGAGGTGGAAGCCATTCTGAATGACCGTCCGATAACCAAGGTGTCTGACGATGTTAACGACTTGGAAGCGCTCACACCCAACCACATCCTTTTGCTGAAAGGAAAACCTGTTCTTGCCCCTGGAATCTTTCAAGAGAATGATCTTTACATTAGAAGACGATGGAGACAAGTTCAGTATCTTTCAACTTTGTTCTGGAAAAGGTGGATAAGGGAGTACCTGCCGCTGTTACAGGAACGGCAAAAGTGGGCGAGGCCGCGAAGAAGTTTTGAAATGGGAGACATTGTAATCATTATGGATCACACTGCTCCGCGTGGATCATGGATTATGGGAAGAGTGACAAAGACTTACCCAGATAAGAAGGGCTTCATACGTGCCGTGCAGTTGAAGACTAAGACAGGGCAGTTGGAGCGCCCTATTTCCAAGCTTTTCCTGTTGCAAGAAGCTGTGTAATGGTCATGACCCAACGCTGGTTAACATCCAATCCAGAAGAAAGAAGACCTTCTTGAATTACTCCCTGTTTTGTAGTTTAATTGGGCACACTGTCCCAATTAGGGGCCGGTGTGTGGGAGCCATTTGCTATTTGTTGATGTAGTGGTGGTGGTCAACACTAGAGGGCAGTGTGCCTATGCTATAGTAGCGAAGGTCACGGTGGCACAGGCGCGCCAGCTGATTTAATGCACAGGTGTAGCGAGGGAAAGGATGCTAGGGTGGCGGGGAGATCACACGGTTTTTACCGCTGGCACGCCACAGCTAGATTAGCCCTCACGTTTGCCTATACCCTGAGCTCTGTAAACTATCTTTCCATTAAATGGGAACACCACCCAAAGACGCTAAACGTTGTGGACTTCAAATTCATCCGAAGTGGACAAATAGCGCGTCAAAAACATGATCTAGCCCTCACCCTGCCGAGTGTCTGATTAGTGCTAAGACAGTCACCACACATTCTTTAGAAATGTTGGCCCATATTGATAGGATAGCATCTTGCAGTTGATGGAGATTTGTGGGATGCACATCCAGAGCACGAAGCTCCCGTTCCACCACATCCCAAAGATGCTCTATTGGGTTGAGATCTGGTGACTGTGGGGGCCATTTTAGTACAGTGAACTCATTGTCATGTTCAAGAAACCAATTTGAAATGATTCGAGCTTTGTGACATGGTGCATTATCCTGCTGGAAGTAGCCATCAGAGGATGGGTACATGGTGGCCATAAAGGGATGGACATGGTCAGAAACAATGCTCAGGTAGGCCGTGGCATTTAACCGATGCCCATTTGGCACTAAGGGGCCTAAAGTGTGCCAAGAAAACATCCCCCACACCATTACACCACCACCACCAGCCTGCACAGTGGTAACAAGGCATGATGGATCCATGTTCTCATTCTCTTTACGCCAAATTCTGACCATCTGAATGTCTCAACAGAAATCGAGACTCATCAGACCAGGCAACATTTTTCCAGTCTTCAACTGTCCAATTTTGGTGAGCTCTTGCAAATTAGGTTGTGCGTGTTGTGGCTTCACAGATGCTTTGCTGCATACCTCGGTTGTAACGAGTGGTTATTTCAGTCAAAGTTGCTCTTCTATCAGCTTGAATCAGTCGGCCCATTCTCCTCTGACCTCTAGCATCAACAAGGCATTTTCGCCCACAGGACTGCCGCATAGTGGATGTTTTTCCCTTTTCACACCATTCTTTGTAAACCCTAGAAATGGTTGTGCGTGAAAATCACAGTAACTGAGCAGATTGTGAAATACTCAGACCGGCCCGTCTGGCACCAACAACCATGCCATGCTCAAAATTGCTTAAATCACCTTTCTTTCCCATTCTGACATTCAGTTTGGAGTTCAGGAGATTGTCTTGACCAGGACCACACCCCTAAATGCATTGAAGCAACTGCCATGTGATTGGTTGATTAGATAATTGCATTAATGAGAAATTGAACAGGTGTTCCCTTATAATCCTTTAGGTGAGTGTATATGTATGTCTATGGATCTTGCTCACAAGCATGGAGTAGCACTGAACAGCTGCTCCACCACAGTCCATAGAATCAACTAGTATTCTCAGTATTTGCTCAGTATTGCCCAAATCTATGCTGGAATTCTGACTCTCCCTCATTAATGCCTTCCCTACATTCCAAATATTCCCACCAATTTTCTAATTGATAAAGTATGAATGATCAGGTAGATGCTTTCTTGTAAATGCAAATGTGGGGTATAAACATAGGCAATCACAAATGTAAGGATTCTCATGTTTGTCATGGTAAAAAAAAAAATACACATTAAGTTTTCATTTGGTTCAAAAGTTGTCAAAACCCTTTTTCGGACAGCGGCCATATTGAATTTTAGGGAATTTGGGGGGTCTTGATATACCCAATCATAAATGTAAGTATTCTGCGAGCGCTGTGACGGCCGCCACATAGACTTTAAGCGTGGATGGGGACCTCCCCTTATCCAACAGCTCTTGTAGGAAACTGAGCAGCCGCGAGACCCCCCATGTCCGCGGGTCCAGATTTTTGTCGGTGCACCATTTAGAGAACACAGACCATTTAGACACGTAAAGCTTTCTAGTAGAGGGAGCTCTAGACTGCGTAATCGTGTTCATCACTCCTTTTGGCAGGGTAACGGGTACCCGTTGATCAACCATGCATGCAGCGACCAGCGCTCTGGATGGGGATGCCAGATCGAGCCGCAAGCTTGAGAGAGAGGAGATCTGTTCTCACCGGAATCGGCCACGGGGCTGTGTTTTTGTGACAGCCGCGTCAGCTTCCGGGAACCAAGTCTGATTCTCCCAACGCGGGGCTATAAGGGGCACCAAGTGGCGTGTTTCCCTGATCCTCTTGATTACCTGTGGTAACAGAGAAATCGGAGGGAAGGCATACAGCGGGCGGCTGGGCCAGATTTGGGCCAGTGCGTCCTCGCTCTTCGAAAAGAACCTTGGGCACGTTCCCTGGGGGAACGTTGTCCCTGGATAGCTTGTCTGGGCCGTCGTTCAGGTGGCCTGGCACATGCGCAGCTCTCAGCGAGCGCAGATGGTGCTGAGACCAAACGAGGAGGCGTTCTGTTAGATCGCAGAGGTTCCTGGATCTGACACCGCCCTGACGGTTTACATAGGACACTACAGACATGTTGTCCGGTCGGACTAGAACATGGTGGCCCTGAATGAACGGGAGGAAGCGCATGATGAGCGCGTTCTCGACCGCTAACTTTTCCAGACAGTTTATGTGAAGGAGCTTCTCCTGGTCTGACCACAGGCCAAAGACCGGTCTGCCCTCGAAGAGAGCGCCCCAACCTGAGCTAACCAGGGCTGCAGAGATGTAATGCAGGTCTGAGTCACTCTGATTCGTTCGCAGCCAGAGGTCCAAGCTCGGCGAGACGCTCGCTCGTTCAGCCAGCGTTGAAGTGGGCGCATGCGCAGTAGGCCCAGCTGAAGCACCGCTGCAGCTGAAGCCATAAAGCCCAGCATCCTCTGGAATGTTTTCAGAGGGATGATGCTGCCCTTCTGGAAAGACGCGGCTAGGTGTCGAACACGGCGCGCGCGCACTGTGTCGATAAACAAGCCGTCATGGCCACAGAGTCCAGTTCTATTCCTAGAAAGGAAATTGACTGACTGGGCAGTAATGAGCTCTTGGTCCAGTTGACAGTGAGACCCAATCTCTCCAGATGACTGAGAAGCACTGTTCTGTGAGATATCAGTTCTATCTCTGATTGTGCCAAAATCAGCCAATCGTCCAGATAGTTCATGATTTGCAAACCCTGATTTCTCAAGGGGGCGAGCGCCGCGTCCATGCACTTCGTAAATGTACGGGGTGCTAAAGGCAGGCCGAACGGCAGGACGGTGTATTGATAAACCTGACCGTCGAAGGCTAATCTCAAGAATGGCCTGTGACGGGGTATTATGTGAATCTGAAAATAGGCATCTTTCAGATCGAGAGAGATAAACCAGTCCCTCGGGCGAACGTGCGCAAGGATTTTCCTGGCCAAATGTCTCAGATCTAAGATGGGCCTAAGGGCTCCGTCCTTCTTGGGCACGAGAAAAATATCGGCTGTAAAATCCTGACTCGCTCAGAGAAGGCGGTACCAGCTCTATAGCACCTTTGCACAGTAGCTTCGCTATTTCTGCACGGAGTAGATGTGCTACTTCCGCATTCACTGTCGTCGCGGTCCGCGCTCGAAAGCGCGGGGGACGGCGAATGAACTGACACGAATAGCCCTGCTTTATTGTGCTTAGCACCCATTCTGAAAACCCCTGGGATAGCTTCCCATGCTTTTATATGTACAGCTAGGGGGCGAATGGCCTCGGCGCTCTGATTGCCGCACTTTGGGGGATCGAGAAACTGAACCGGAGGAGTGGGCGCAGCGCGCGCGCACGCCCTCGGTGCTTGAAGTCGGCAGCTCGCTGACAACCGTGACAGGCTGAATTGTGTGTGACGTCCCGATTGCCATGAATGGGGAGTGTTCTTTTACCACTTTGTGATGCGCGAGCAGCGCCCTGGGCGAATTGTTTATTAGTAAGCGTGAGCGCTTGTGCGCGGGCACGAGATTTACATATGAATGTGACGCCCCGATCGCTTTGGATGGGGAGCGTTTTATGATCGCCTTGAGACGCGAGCGCGGCGCTATGGGCAGAGTGTTTATTAGTAAGCGTGAGCGCTTCTGAGCGGGCACAGGACTTACAGTTATAAGTGACGCCCCGATCGCTTGGGATGGGCGGCGTTTTATAGTAACTCTTAGATGCGCGGGCCGCGCTCGGGAAGAGGTATGTGTTAGTAAGCGTGAACGCTCGTGGGTGGGCACGTGACTTACATTCATAACCTGACTGATATGAGTCTTTAATGGCCGTGTGAGCGTTGCCAGTAAGCGTGCGCGCTCGTGAGCGGACACATGACTTACATTCACAGCCCGACCAGTTATGAGCACTTGAGTATGGCGGCTCGCTGACAGCGACAGCTGGCTGTTTTACATGTGACGTCCCGGTTGCTTTGGACGGGGAACGTTTTGTGAAAACATTGTAATGTGCGAGCAGCGCCGGAGGCGGTGTGTCTGTTAGTAAGCGTGAGCGCTCGTGAGCGGGCACGTGACTTACATTCTTAACCTGACATGTATGAGGCTGTTCTGGCCGTGTGACAGAGCGGGCAGAAAATAGGCGTGAGCACAGAGTTGTGGGCACGTTTCCTACATCTAGCACTCGAGCGGCATTTGCCAGCTTTATGAGAGTGGGCTCTGCGAGAGACACGGGGGGTATCGTAATTGTGTGTAGGGGTGAACACAGATGTGGGCACATTTTCTACACTCAAGACACCAACGGCGTGAGCCTGATAACCAGACATTATACTCACTTTGAGATTTCTCTGGGTCGCCGCGAAAACGGCAGATATGTGCAGGCGAGCGGGTTGCATTACCGGCTCTTTGGCTGCCAAATACACCGCTACAGTAGCCTTTTCTAAGGGGACTGACAGGGCGAGACATTTCGACGGCGGCGCGCAAGCCCGTCCGGGTCATGCAGAGAGCTCGAGAGGGCTCTGCATGACGCCCCAAAACGGGGATGCGAGGGCGGGGTAGCTCTCTTGTAACGTAAAGAGAGCTAGCCGCGTGCTCGTTGGTCGAGCAGTTACTGGGAACAGTGTTTGTATGAGGGCGCGCGCACTAGTAGTGGGCACGGGACCTACATGTGACACAGATAACGTAAAGAGAGCTAGCCGCGTGGCGCTGTGGTTAAAGACTTCGATTCGAGCGAGCAGGGTCGACATCAGAAGTTCCTCGCAGTGCTCGCATCCTCCACGAGAGGGCGAGGGCTGCGTGTTCCTGGCCCAGGCAGAGAGCGCAGATGAGATGGCAGTCTCCAACGCTGAGCGGCTCTGCACGAGCCACAGGAAGTGCGAGACATCTTGAAAAAGACGTCTCGCTGCTCTTTTAGGAAGTGTAGAACACAGAATACAGGGCTTAAAAGGATATGTCGCCGGATAGCGTAGCTCGCACGGATGGCTGAAGGTGGCGAAGACGGCCGTAAGCTAACTTACGCAATACGAGAGAACCTCTCGTAAGAGAAAGGTATTTTTATTCTAAGTACGTGCGCGCCCGCGCTGCGGTTTCAAAGTAATAATAATAATTAATTAATTAATCACATTTATATAGCGCTTTTCTGGACACTCAAAGCGCTTCACATAGAAGGGGGAATCTCCTCAACCACCACCAATGTGCAGCATCCACCTGGATGATGCGACGGCAGCCATATCAAAAAGTAGTGAAAATGGATGACCTGCTCCTGCTTTACGTTACAAAAAAATATCAAAAGAAAAACAGGTGCTTTTGGGTACATGATATCCTCAAAAGACGAGAGGAGTTGGGAGAATCCGTCACTCTGATTAGAGAGTTGTCGTCTTTTGAAGACAAATTTTATTCATATTTTCGAGCAGAATGCTTGCTTTGGAGTGGCTCAATAGGGAATTGAACTGCAGTTAGCAGTAGCACAACTATGTCATTCTATTTTGTTCATGATATTTATGAAGTAATTTAAAAACACAATGTACTCAACACTATAATATTATTTGACTAGAATGACTAAAAAAAGCTTACCACATAAATTGACTCATTTATTCCTTAAACAATCACAACATTTAAAGACATTTTATCTGCACATTTTAAAGTTAAGTTGTAACAGTATACACACACACACACACACACATTTTGAACATAAAATGAGAAAAACGTACTACAATAGCTTTAATGATATTGATTGATGTTATAGATTACATTTTATTATAATTGTTGTTTACAACATGTCATTGAATATGTTTTTGCTGTTCTTATTGCCTTTACACGTCTTTGCCAGCAGATGTCCTCAGCCAGCATGCTATGTTCCGAGTGCATCTAAACAGTGGCCCAATCCCAAATGGCACACTTCGGCCCAATCCCAAATGGCACACTTCATGTGCACTTTCGGTCTTGTGGACTTACAATGGCTGCCGCGTGCGCGTGTCCGTTAAGTCCGTGAGACCGAAGTGTGTCCCATTTGTCATTTTTAGATCTCAGAAGGGTGCTCGCGAGCGCCCCCTCTGCGGTCGATTTGCGCCCTTGATGCGCACTTTTGCCGAGCCCGCGCTGATGCGGACTCCACAGCAGACTTCTTCCCGACATTCAAAGCGGCGTTACGTCGCGAAAGTGCGGACTCAAAAGAAGACCGCGAGTGCTTAGGGTTCCATTTGGGACAGGGCCAGTGAATCTAGCAAGTCTAGTGTAATCGATCTAATCTAACAGTGAATTTAGCTGACAAAGTCAATGATGGGATAAAAACATCGCCTAGTCAACACCTTTATGTATACGCCTATTTATGTAATGCCTTTTTCACTGCAACTTCAGCAATGTTGTCAAAACTAGCGCTGGATAGCCTACCTGAGGTAATTTTGTTACACTATGCTAAACTGCATAATATCTCATCGTTAATACTTCTCACCATTTATTCCCAGGATACGACCGATTGCTTTCCATATATCCATCTTTTTTAACGTATCCTTGAAAAGGGGGTTTGACTTGTCAAACAGTGGCCATTTTAAATGCGCGAGAGATTTAAATTAGAATGGATTCTGATTGGCTGTCAGTGTTTTATCGTTCGACAGCTGGAAAAAAATAGTTCTGAAAGTGATCCCAACGATATCGTTCCTCATATCTTTATCGTTATAGTTGTGGTGTGAACTCTGTTATTCTTTAATATGGAGAACGATTTTTAGAATTATATCTTTATCGTTATCTTTATAGTTATCGTGCTTGGTGTGAACGGGCCTTTAGTCTCAGCCTGGCTGGCACCACATGACAGGATCTTCTGATTGTATGGTCCTAAATGTTGATTTGGAATTTGGCTCTTTTCATAGTTCGTACAGATAATATCACGATACAGCAATTCTGTGATAATCAATATATTTCTAGACCAGGGGTGCCCAATCCTGCTCCTGCCGACTGTCCTGCATAGTTCATCTCCAACCCTAATCAAACACACCTGCCTTTAATTTTCAAGTGATCCTGAAGACCTTAATTGGTTGCTTCAGGTGTGTTTGATTAGGGTTGGAGATGAACTGTGCAGGACAGTGGGTGCTTCTCAATATCCCTCCTCGTCTCCTCGATCCTCCGTCCTCCATCCTATGACCCGGAAACCGATCGAGCTCAGCCATCTTGAAGGACATCTCAATTCTCTAATTGCACCGCGAGGAGGCGGGGATCGAGGAGTGAGGAGGCTTCCAGAGGAGCTATGAGCGAGGATGCACAGTTGCATGCTTTGCGGAAGTGTTTTATCGACTAAACATGACCCACGTATACATTCTCCTCCCCCTTCACGTCGGTCACAATCATTTTAATTTATACTTGATCTTTGCAGTTTATATAAACCACACATCTCACATATTTCAACAGGGTATCTTGCTTTATTATTATTTATTACTAATTTCTTAAATAACCAAACTTCAACAACTTAAGGGCAGATCCTTTGAGCGCTGCTGATGACGCAGTGAAGTGACGCTCGAGTGGTCAAGTTTTCCAAAGTATAAAAAAACTTTCATTCGATTCCTCCGTCCTCATTTTCTTTCCTTGCAGCCTTCCCTCGCATCCTGCAGGGGGTGGAGCTGAGACTCGAGGAAAGGAAATGAGGATGCACAAATAAGAATTGAGAAGCACCCAGTATGTATACATGTGCCTAGGTTGCACATGACAAGGTTGCAATTTTTGTCTCAATCAAGAATACAAGATACTTGTCTTAGGAAGGGTGCATAATATAATGTCTGTAATAAAACTATTTGTTTGTGTGTGTGTGTGTGTGTGTGTGTAACAGGGTTGCACACATTCAAATTAAGATAATAATAATTAGACATAGTTTTGCTGCAATTAATTAAATATAAATTTAGTATATTTTTGTGTTTAAAACTAGCTTCTTCTCGTGCTAGCTTATGTCATTTTTTATTTTATTTTTTTTGTGCCCTGAACAGTAAAAAAAATAAATGTTTAGGATTTTCTTGACTCAAATAAAAGGAGACCACATTCTAGCTACATGAAAGTAATTCTCCAACATATCAAACAAGTTTCCTTTCTCTTCAGGTGAAAGTGCGAGAGAGACTCTCTGCTCAAAATGGGGTGAGTAATGGCAGCAGTCCTCCTTTAAAGGGCAGCAGTCCTCCTTTAAATGGCATGTCTGATGGAGAGGACAGGAAATCACATGCTGAACTCCAAAAGCTGCGGGACACCGTGACCCACCGTGATAACGAGATCAGTATCCTTTACTCAACTTCATAATAATATAGTTATTTTATAAACCTAAGATTTTGTGTCTCACTAGGTCTAATTTAAATATGATACATCTGAGGTGCTAAAACAGTCTAATGATCTCTTATATTTTTTCAAAGTAATATTATTTCTTTCATGATAACTCTCTAAAGATTTTAGCATGGTAATGAATATGACAATGTTAATCTATTTGGTCTTGGCGGAATAGATCTGCTATGCTGCTGCTGCAGATATTGCTGCTGTAGTTGTAGATTATTGTTGCTGCTGCTGCTGCAAGAGCAAGTACATGGGCTTGCTATATGAAGGTATTTTTGGTGCAAAACAACTGAACGCCTGTGACAGTGGAATTTGTAGTTGTAGAGAATAGCCACACATGTGTATCAGTAAATGTGAAGTCACAGAGATAAATTTGTTAAGAGTTGCACACTTGTAGACTTTTTTTTATCTTCCACAAACACAACACAACAGTTACACCTTCTCAAATTCTTCATTGCAGGTGCACAAATTCTATTCTACAAATCACAAATTAAGAAACTCGTACGCTCACATTTTTGCTACAGTTGCTGCAGTGAATATGGTGCAAAACGCATTTACACACCCGCATCAAAAAATGTGAAGTCACAGAGAACTTTTGCTCATCTGCAAATCAGTATGTGAATTCATCCAATGAGAGTTGCACTCTTGTAGAATCTTTTCTCACAAAGGTCTTGTATATTTTTCTAGCACAAACACAAGTACATAACTACAGCTGCTTGAATCTGCTGCAACGAATCACAAGCTCTGTTTTTCACTTTCAAGTGACAAGTTTCGTACGCTCCGCCTTTTGCACCAAGTGCACCGTGAAATGTGGTGCAAAAGTGAGTTGTGCATCTGTAGAGGCAGTGGGCGGAGCCTACATTAATATTCATGAGTTTCCGGGGCATGCGCGTGCAACTGCTCATTCTAGTTCACGCTCCTCGTTTCTCAGCAGGTTTAATGGATTATTTCAAAAAAGGTAAATATAGTTTCAGCGCGAACTTAAACTGCAATTGTGTATCGTTTCCTTAAGTTCATGTTTTTATTTATTCGTCACTGACTGAATGATTGCTGGCATTGACTTCGTGTAGGCATAAATTACAGCAAACTTCAACTCGTCGTATAAATTGCACCTTGCGAAGCTTTTAAAATATGGCTTTTACTAATTGTTATCATTTGTTGATTGCAATAAATTAAATAAACTCTCATAAATGTATCCGTTCCGTTGGCTAACACTTTAAAAAATATATATAGCTATAATATATCCTGGTGTGATTGTTCTTAAAATCTTGTTCATTTAAATAAGCCAAATCATTAAGACCAAACACAAGCATAAATGTGTTGCTTTAATACATATGTACAATTTGGATTAAACAAAATTGTATGGACAAAAGTGGATAAATTACATTTGATACAATTAGGTTACTGTAAATGAGGGGGAAAAAACACTTAACATTATTTTACGGAATATAAGGGCATGCGCGTGGAACTGCTCATTCTAGTTCACGCTCCTCGTTTCTCAGCAGGTTTAATGGATTACTTCAAAAAAGGTAAATATAGTTTCAGCGGAAAATTAAACTACAATTGTGTATCATTTCATTCATAATGTTTTTATTAGTTTGCACGTTTTGTGCTTAATTAATGAATAAATGATTGCTGGCATTCATAGTAGCCTATAGGCTATAAAGCACAGCAAACTTCAACTCATTCATTTAGTTGTGCTTTTCCTTTGTACATTGCAATGCTTTAAACTGCCTTTTGTTATCATTTGTTGAATGTTACTGTTGTGAATCACCAGACTCAGAGAGATCCATTTGCAGCGTAAAGTTATTTAACAGATTAGTCAGACAGGCAGGGGTCAAAGACAGCAAACACAGCACTGGAGACAAGGCTTAATCGAGGTCGAATTACCAGGCAGAAGATCAGGGCAGGCAGAAAACAGGCAGAGTCCGTGAACCAGGCAGGGGTAACGTGGGCAGGCAGCAGGCAAGGAGAAATCCAAGACAAAAGGGGTCGATAAACAGTCAGGCAGTCACTGGGTAATAATGCTCGGTAGTGTTCACAAAAGCAAAACAAAACTTCGCACTGAGAGCTGTGCATGGTGCAGTTAAATAGCCCGGTAGATGGGCTGCAGCTGGGCATGGTGATCAGAGTCAGTGATGAGGCTTATGGGAAATGTAGTGCGAGTATGAGAGTCAATATTCGGGTGAGGGCTCCCTCTGCTGGCCAGGGAGGGAGGTTGCGGAGTCCGGGATTGTGACAGAGCCCCCTCCCTGCGAGCGACTCCTGGCGTGAGGAGCCTGACGACGTCGGGGTCTTCCACGTGGTCGTGGAGCCGGTTTGGTGGGATGGGCCTGGTGGAAGTCTGTAATCAGGCTGGGGTCCAGGATGTCTGTGGCGTCTACCCACGAACGTTCCTCAGGGCCATATCCTTCCCAATGAACCAGGTACTGCAGGGAACTGCCCCGACGTCTGGAATCCACGAGCTCCTGAACTTGATAGACCTCATCGCCCTCCACTTGGATAGGTTGGGGGCTCTGGTCTCGGGATCTCCCCTCCTCCCTCTCGTTGGGCCCATCAGCGGGTTTGAGTAGAGAGACATGGAAGGTAGGAGCGAGACGATAGTGATTAGGCAAGTCGAGACGGAAAGAGACTGGTGTGATCTGCTGTGTGATCTTAAATGGACCCACATACCTGGGACTGAGTTTTTTGCAGGGGAGTCGCAGGCGGAGATCTCGGGTCGACAGCCAGACCCACTGGCCCGGGTGGTATTCCGGCCCCGGCCGACGACGACGGTTAGCCTGTTCTCTCTGACGGCGAACCGCTCGTTGGAGATGGGTATGGGCTTGGTTCCAGGTCTCCTCGCTGCGCTGTAGCTAATCGTTCACGGCTGGAACATTTGTGGGTTCTCCTGACCACGGGAAGAGTGGTGGTTGAAAACCCAGGACACACTGAAAGGGTGTAAGGCCGGAGGAGTGCTTCCGGATAGAATTTTGGGCGTACTCTGCCCAGAACAGGTAACGACTCCAATCCTGTTGGTGCTGATGGCAATAGGAGCGCAGGAATCGGATTACCTCCTGGTTCATGCGTTCGGCCTGCCCGTTGGATTGAGGATGATACCCAGACGTTAGACTGATGTTGACCTGAAGGGTCGTGAAGAAGGCTGACCAAACTTGAGATGTGAACTGGGGTCCTCGATCGGAGACTATGTCTTCTGGCAGGCCGTAGAATCGGAACACTTGATTGCAGAGGTGTTCGGCGGTCTGCAGCGCTGTGGGGAGTTTTGCGAGGGGAATTAGGCGACAGGCCTTGGAGAACCGGTCGATAACGGTGAGGATGGTGGTGTGACCTTCGGAAACAGGGAGATCGGTAATGAAGTCGATGGCAATGTGCGACCATGGGCGCTGTGGAATGGGAAGCGGTTGTAACAGACCGGCAGGTAGTTGACGTGACGACTTCTGGGTATTACAGATCCTGCAGCGTTGGACGTGGGTTGTGGTATCGGAGGCTAAGGAGGGCCACCAATAACGGTTTTGGAGTAGCTGGATGGTGGCCGTGATTCCTGGATGCCCCGAGCTAGGTAGGGCATGAACGAGTTCCAGGACCTGGTTCCGGAGGGACTCGGGGACAAAGACTCGGTTGGGCGGACAGCCGGATGGGATATCAGCACGGGAGTTGATCTGTTCAATCTCGGTCTCAATGTCCCACTGGATGGGAGCGACAATGAGGTTGGGAGCCAGTACTGTCTTGGGGTCTTGTGGTGTGAATTCTAGGTCGTCTTGGCGTGACAAGGCATCTGCCTTGGTATTCTTGGAGCCTGGACGATAAGTGACAGTGAAGTGGAAACGGGTGAAGAAGAGCGACCAACGAGCTTGCCTGGGATTTAGCCTCTTAGCGGTACGTAGATACTCCAGGTTCTTATGGTCGGTGAGAACGATGAACGGATGGACAGCACCCTCGAGCCAATGCCGCCACTCTTCGAAGGCTGCCTTCATGGCCAGGAGTTCCCGATCACCCACATCATAATTTCTTTCGGCGGCATTCAACTTACGGGAGTAGTATGCACAGGGGTGCAACTTGGGTGGCGAACCTTGGCGTTGTGAAAGGATGGCCCCTAGAGCGGTGTTTGAGGCGTCCACCTCGACTATGAACGGTAGACCGGGGTTAGGATGGTGCAGGATGGGTGCTGTGGTAAAGCGTTGTTTGAGCTGGTTAAATGCCTGGGTGGCAGGCTCATTCCACGGAAGACGATGTGTTCCTTTCTTCACCAGAGAGGTGAGTGGATTTGCCACGGCACTGAAGTTCCTTATGAACCGTCGGTAAAAGTTGGCAAACCCTAGAAAGCGTTGCAGCTCTTTCAGGGTTGCGGGTCGTGGCCAATCGCGGACTGCCCTGACCTTGCCCTCGTCCATAGCAACTCCGTCCGGGCTGATGACATACCCCAAGAACGAAACGGAGATCTGGTGGAACTCACACTTCTCCAGTTTGGCGTACAGATGGTGGTGAATGAGTCTCTGAAGGACGGCCCGAACGTGCTGCACATGGTTTGTGAAGGTGTCAGAGTAAATCAGGATGTCATCGATGTACACTATTACTGTACGGTGGAGCATGTCTCTGAAGACGTTGTTGATGAATGACTGGAAGACGGACGGACTGTTCGCCAGGCCAAACGGCATGACCAAGTACTCGTAGTGCCCTGTGTTGGTTGAGAAGGCCGTCTTCCACTCGTCCCCCTCCCTGATGCGGATGAGATTGTACGCACAACGTAGATCGAGCTTGGTGTAGTACTTGGCCGTACGGAGTAATTCCAAGGCGGCTGGTACCAGCGGGAGCGGATAGCGAAACTTTACAGTGATGTCATTCAGGGCACGGTAGTCAATGCAGGGTCGGAGGCCTCCGTCCTTCTTCTGGACAAAGAAGAAACCGGCAGATGCAGGAGACGTGGAAGGTCGAATGAAGCCCTTTGCAAGC